CTCTAGAGGGTAGGAAGGATGTCGGCAGATGATGCAGATGACGAGGAGCGGTTCACGTTTGAGGAGTATATAGATATGATCAGAGAGCGCAGTAATGAGAGTCTTATAGATGATATCGATAAGACTTCAACTCTGAGTAACTGGGCTGCAGTAACCACCAGCACGTGCAACAGCACGTGCACTAGCGCGTGTAATAGCTCATGTAATAGCGCAGGCAACAGCACGTGCAACAGTACGACTAACAGTACAGGCTCCTCCAAAGAAGGGCGCGCCAGCAGCACGTCACCCAACTTACTGGAAGGTGAGGAGTCGCAGGATCCGGTGGAGAAGAGAATCCTCTTCAAACAGCAGATGAGTGAGGAGATACATGAGAGTGAGTTGGATTCTAAAGAGAAGCTGGAAGTGAACGACAAGATAGAGCCCCAGCTACCACCCGCTCATGTCACGCATTGTAAGAAGAGAAAGAAGGGAAATAGGAAGATAAGGAAAAAGAGTTTAGAGACTCTCACTCTCCTCGGCAACTCGGTTTGTTATATGCTGCCTGTTATTGCCATGGTAACAAGGTTAATTACTATATGTTCGATCTTCTTGTAGCATTGCATGATATAATTTAACTTCGTTGAATACTCAGAATTAGATATCTGTAAATGTAAAGGTGAGAATCGTACACTATGAATGCTGTTTTTAAAGTTTGTTTCGGATGGGATCATAACGTGAACGGAAGCTTTGCTTCTTTTTTATCTTGATTTATATTTTATGTTACCTCTCATTCTACTGGTTTTGAGCAAATTAAGACTTGTTAGCAAAAACCGCTCAGCTTACACATTAAACATATTCACATATCTAAAAATAGTTGATTACCGGTTAACAAAGACAGCGGTCAGTAACCTGTTTTCCTATTTTCATTGCTATGTTCCACAATGGAACTATCCTCAGACCGCCATAGAAACGGCGTATCTTTACTCCGCCAAATTTTCACAACCCACCGGAACCTATTTTCTGTGACCACGCCGCGCCGCGCACCTCAACAAGACCTACAAGACAACTTTACTGACTGGTACTACAAGTGGGTGATAAGAGAACAAGCATTATCAGCAGCTAGTTGTAATATACCCTGGAGATTGGTCTGTGGGTTGGAGAACTATCAGGACCTAGACGAGGAGTTGTGGGGGTATAACAGTGAGGAGGAGGAACTGTGGCAGGAGATAGGGAGAAGGTACGAGGATACAGGGTTACCTGACTTGGTTAGGAGGGGTTTTAGAGACTGTTCGGGGAGGAGTTTCAGGGAGGTACAATCTGAGGAGGTACAATCCGAGAAGACACAACCTGTGAGGGTTGAGTCAGTTTATCAGGCTGATTCAGTGACCTATACATTTCACCAAGGTTCTACAAATAGTATTACCGTCACGACTAATAATATTCAACCTTCTGAAGAGTTTTTTTCAGGTCAAATATTGACTGGTGTCAATAATTCTGAGAACTCAGATCAGACTTCTAGATTAGTTTCATTGCAGCGTTATAGTAGTGTGCTGAGTGAGGAGGAAATTAGCTGTTTTACAGACACTGAATCTACTGAAGAAAGTGAGTCCTACTCCTACTCCTATTTTTACTCAGACTCGGATTCAGACTTAGAATCTAACTCAGATTCAGACTCAGATTCAGACTTAGATTCAGACTCAGATTCAGACTCAGATTCAGACTACACTTCCAGCTCCTTCTCAGATCCCCATATTAACCTAAGTTTATCTACTGTCGAGGAGAAGCCTTCAGTAAAGATCTCACCTGATCATCAGACCCTTGTTGAAACAGAGAACACATCAAGCGAACACTTCAACCTTTCTGACGGCCGACAGTCATTCTCCAGTTCAAACTTCTCAGCTGACCAACTATCTCTGTATAATATAGAGTCTTTAGCAAGAAGCATCAGAAACTCTTTACCTCGCAAAAGAATACCATCCCTATCTGCCAGTTGCTCAGCTAACAAACACAAACCTGACAAATCAGAACCATCCTTTAAGATAAAACTACCTAAAATAAAGCTTTCTAAAAGCAGAAGTGAATCCAAAGACCACAACCAATCATCTTCCGAAAGACTGATCACAATACCCACTTTATCAGTTACCGAGTTTCAAAATAATCCAGATTCAGATATATCAGGTAGCTTTGAACGGCTTGAACCCGCAAGGCGTCCTATTAAGAGACGGTGTCGGCACAACTCTTACTACGAGCAGAATCTCAGACCTCTTTTAGACACGAGACTTATCCGGACACCGTCCCCTTACTCGGATAGACCTTTCCGAACACCGTCCCCTTATTCGGACAGACATAATATTAGGACATCGACTCTTTACACAGACAGAAATATTCGGACACCTTCTCCGTACTCGACAAATAAATCAGGGAGGGAGGAGACCGTTGAGTACGTGTTCTTGTTGAATCAGGGAGTAGTAGAGAGAGGTGGGGGAGTAAGGAGAGGGAACAGTGAGGAGGACATAACTCTCCCTAGATCTGCAGAGGAGGACATAACTCTCCCTAGATCTGCAGAGGAGGACATAACTCTCCCTAGATCTGCAGAGGAGGACATAACTCTCCCTAGATCTGCAGAGGAGGACATAACTCTCCCTAGATCTGCAGAGGACAACATAACTCTCCCTAGATCTGCAGAGGAGGACATAACTCTCCCTAGATCTGCAGAGGAGAACATAACTCTCCCTGGATCTGCAGAGGAGAACATAACTCTCCCTAGATCTGCAGAGGACAACATAACTCTCCCTAGATCTGCAGAGGAGGACAGAACTCTTCCTAGATCTGCAGAGGAGAACATAACTCTCCCTGGATCTGCAGAGGAGAACATAACTCTCCCTGGATCTGCAGAGGAGAACATAACTCTCCCTACATCTGTAGAGGAGGACATAACTCTCCCTGGATCTGTGGGGTAGATTTCTCGTCACTGTCTGTGTGTCCTGAGTCTGAGCTATGGAGTTCAGGAGTCCGGACTCGGACCAGATGAGTCTGGTGGATGGAGTCCTCTCTGTTCTTGATAGGGTAAGATATTGTTGTGATGTGTTCTACCTAGATGTGTTAAATACCATGCCTCAATTATGCTCATTGCCGGCTCAAATAACCCCAGTCAACCTGCCCTTCTAATTGTGATAGCTTCTATGAGGCTGAATCTACATCTTGTAGGAAACTCTGTGTAATACATTGACCTTGTAAAGTTGTGTGTTATTTGATATGTTAAACTTAACAAGCGTGTAATGCAACGTTATATGCCATGCTGTTGAATAATCCAACCTGGCTGCAAATTTGGTGAATAGTTCAGCTTAATCGTGGTGTTTTTACCCTCCACAGTTGTGGGATCGCACTTTTTGCAAAGTTATATGTTGCCTCTGAATTGTATTAACATCAGGGGTATAATGTTTAAGTACCGATTATTGAGGGGGAAAGGGGGTGTAACACAGTTACCAGAACATTTTGTTCGTCGCTCTCTGCTTCAGTTCCAGATCGCTAGCACTGACTTCTTGTTCCGTTGTAATGTTATATCTTATTATCACATAACTTCTAGTGAAACTCTAGAACCATATCATGAGCTGAAGTCCTATCTGTCTTTCTCTGAACCGTGTCATTATCAATTACCAACAACTTGCAGTACGTGCATGTTCACGGTCTCCCAACTTCTCAGAAGGTCTCGTGTCATTAAGTCGTAAAAGGTCACGTGATATTTGGGGGGCTGGTTACCTAACACCAGTGTTAATAATAAGACCTGCAGCTCCCTGTTACCTCACACTCACAGTCTTACAATGCTGGATGTTGCTGGTAGAGTGTGATGACAGTTACACGCACATCATTTGTAGGTTTCTCTTTTTGACTGCCAAGTTTGCACGTGAGATCGTAGAGGAGTTGTTACTTGTCGATTGTATTAATTTGTACTAATTTGTATTAGTTTGTATTAATTTGTACTAATTTGTATTAATTTGTATAACTTTGGTGTTTTTTTGTAGTAATTTACATTGTTTGTGTAGAAATGAGATGAGCAGTCCGTCATCTCGCTCCTCTCTCTCTGGAGCTTCCAGAAGGTACACACCCAGTGTTAGCCATGATGTTAACAGTGATGTTAACATAAAGGTTAACAGTGGTGTTAACCTGGAGGTTAACAATGGGTTTAGTGACCACAAGGCTCTGTGGGGTTCTGTAACCAACCTGGTGTCCACTGGAGCTAACAGAGTCGCTGAAACTGCCAACAGAGTTAAAGATGAGGTAATTACAATTAAATGCACCGTTTAACAGACTGACAGACAGACTGACAGACTGACAAAAACCCAAATATAGTATTAATTGTGCTACAGCTCCAAAGTCCACACTATTTTTGTTAGATTACTCTCAATGTTGAGTGATAACATCCAGAGAACATCTCTTAATTTTAATAGTTAGCTGTTTCGCATAGGCTGTTGAGACTTGAGACTATGTTATCGTTCTGATCTCAGATACTACCGGCTATGTTGCCTCAGCTAACCTTGTTCTGATTTAGTAAATTTACTCCTCATTACAAATACCACCAGCTGTAATCCTATCCTAGACAACATATTACCACGTACATGACCACATAATATGACTTATGGTTATGAGTCTCCTCACTTAGCAGTTAGCTATCTCTCTTTAGCTCTCTCTCTCTTTAGGACCACTGAAACTGTTCCACAATCAGACCAAATCCTTCCACTGAGCAGTGTGTACCGCCTCCCATATTTTAGTGTACACTCGTGGTTATGCCAGTCTCGGTTGTATGTCCTAGCTATTATGTGGTACCTGAGAGCTCTACTTGCTGTACATTGCAATGTATAATGTACGCTGCAATGTATAATGTACACTGTACATTGCAATGTACAATGTACACTGAGCAGTGCAGTGTACACTGTACCCTGAGGCCTGAGCAGTGCAGTTTCTTGTCGGGGTCGGGTTCGGGTCTGATCACAAGGTTGGGTAGCAGCACGACGTGAATGCTCAGTGTAAACTGTACAAATAGTTGTGCGTGTCCACTGTCCAGGAACTATATTTTATACACGCCGTAAACACAGAGCAATAACGTGCTTTCTTTCTGTCGTGCCAATTTCCGCTGTGTGCACGTATAGAGCTGTGTAACTTGGTCTGTGTGTGTGTGTGTGTGTGCTGTTTGTAATAGCTGCAGCTCAACTAGTGTCCAGTACTGGTCGTATTAATTTGTGTAGCTAGCTTTACCAGTACTGGTTTTGATAATTTGTACAGCTGTCTGACGTAGAACTAGCAGCTGTAACCCCGTTAAATAATATTCCGCTAGTTAGCTTTTAAGTACATAGTTTGCTCTCACTAGTACAGTCAGTGTACACCAGCCATGGACGCCAGCACTCCTAGTTGTTCCAAGATGAGTGTGTCGCGCGACAAGAAGAAACAGGAGTCGCAGAAGCCGCGACACATGAAAGTGCCTGAGAGAGGGTCGCGGAGTCTAGAGAACTCGCCCCGACCGCCCCGCGTACAGTTGAGACAATCTACCAGTGTTGGTGAAGACACGAGATCAGGATCACTACCTCTTCAGAGACCATCTAATCTGGGTTTAGGTGGATCTCCCGCTCTCTCCCCCACTTCCCCCATGCTTTCATCCACCTCTCCGATTGTATCTCCTACCTCTCCAGCTCTACCCAACGTGACCCTCCCTCACCAGAGTATGCCCCAGCGCAGCTCCACAGGCCCTAGCATAGAGCCATTCTCTTCTTCACACAGCATAGTTAGGAGTAAAAGTGCTGAGTTTGTGAGAGGTCGAAGTGCCACCTGTCCTCCCCTTACCTCTCAGCGCTCTCATATCACCACTCAGCGTGGTACTCCTGACTCATTTGACAACTGGCTAAAGTCTGCTAAACATGCGGTGAGTGGTTACAAGTCGCATGCTAACCAATTTGCCAACTATATCACATACTAACTATAATATCGCATAATACCGCATCTGCTCTTATGTGCCAAGCTTATTAATGTGAACTCAAAAGTAACCATTATCCACCTACATCAGAACCGCTATTTTATGAATTAATATACAGGGTGAGCACTAAGCCAGAATCAACTGCGTACACGCAACTCTAGAATCTATTTTTAATCAAAATTAATATCATTCCATTTGGTCTAATTAATGAACACATTCTTTTATGTTATTGTTTACACTTGAAGACCTGCGAACAGAATTCATCGACTGTTTTTAATTGTAAATATTAGGTATATTATATATGTATTAGTTTTACTTACATATTATATACCATATAGTTTTATATCTTTATTATAGTTCAAAGGTGTCTTGGTGTATGTCTGTCAGATCGCGCACGTGCAAATTGGGTAAAATTAAGGTTGATAATAACAAAAGTGGAACGCGCACGTCCATTGGACGTCCAGCGTCGTCCAATAACGATCGGTTTTTGTTATCACTACGTTGTGTTCAGTCTATGATAAAAACAGACCCTGAAATAATACCATAAGCTTCATTCCTGTGATGAAGGCTTTCTAGTATATTATATCAATATATATATATATATATATACATATATATATATATTAGATATATCAGTATTATATCTGAAGTAAGATAGCTCACTGATCCACCGTATGATCCCCAGGATAAAACTGTTGTCCTATTGATAGAACTTGAGCTCTTGAGCATTGAAATTGCAAAGCAGCTGATCTGGCGCCCAAAATACTGCAGTAATAACGCTTCTATATCTACATATTGTAAGAACTGAGGATAAGACAAGCCGGATAATCGTAAATAAAGACTTATATTGATGAGTTTGCCGATCTACTTTTATTGAGAGTCCCTAAGGTAGTATCGTTCCCTTAACTTGACCCCTCCCCCTCCAGCTCCCCCTACAGCTCCCCCTCCAGCTCCCCCTACAGCTCACCCTACAGCTCCCCCTACAGCTCCCCCTACAGCTCCCCCTACAGCTCCCCTACAGCTCCCCCTACAGCCCCCCCTCCAGCTCCCCCTTCAGCTCCCCCTCCAGCTCCCCCTACAGCTCCCCCTCCAGCTCCCCCTCCATCTCCCCCTCCAGCTCCCCCTCCAGCTCCCCCTCCAGCTCCCCTCTTCAACTCCCCCTCCAGCTCCCCCCTCCAGCTCCCCCTCCAGCTCCCCCTCCAGCTCCCCCTCCAGCTCCCCCTCCAGCTCCCCCCTCCAGCTCCCCCCTCCAGCTCCCCCTCCAGCTCCCCCCTCCAGCTCCCCCTCCAGCTCCCCCTTCCCCCTCATTACTTGGCACCTTGTCTGATTTGAAGTTAATTTTCACCTCTTTGTGTTTCTTACTTCACAGTTTGTTGTTCAGTTTAACAAGGTGCAAACTGCAAGGTGAACAATAGTCTAGCCAGGTTAAGGATTAAGAAAGTGGGGTAGAGGGTGGCAAGGAGCCAGGAGACTGTTGAAAGCGACCCTTCTTGTTTTTCTAGTTCCCCGGTAGATAAAACACTACACAGTAAAATTATAACCTATTCAAATCAACCGTTAATTCTCCTGAGGATATTCCGTTACCAAACATTTCGTACAATTACAACAGTCCTATTTTCTGGTTATGAGATCGTACAGTGACGCGAGTCGTCAAGAATAAAAAAATAAACTTTCGCTTGCGAGTTGTAATCATCTCCGAGTCCTATGAGTGTAACATCACTGATATTTCTTAGCTCAAATAGAACACCAAGCAGGAAGGCGTCAGTACATATAATTCTACCTTCATTAACTCTTTATTATCTCTCGTTTGTGACTTTCTTACATACAATATTGTTTTTCCTTTGTCATTCCTTTTATTCTAATATTCTGTATTCATAATGTCTTTACCATGTTTTATTAGTGCTAATTTATTAAAAGGTAACCTTACTTCCGTAACTTAACGTATACATGAGTTAAAATAAATAAGATAAAAGCAAGTCTGCCTGTAAGTAAGATAATGACTGGTAGATAACAGCCTGGTTTACATCAATTATCTGGAGACATACCGTATATGTAATGTAGGTATGTACCATTTAGAAGAGGTAAACCAGGTTGCCATGGCTGTTACCTGGCAACCTGGTTATTGGTCACTACTCGTCACGTGACCTGCTGTTACTTGGCAGTCTGCCAGGTTAGTCACGTGACATGTCCATCAGAGAATAACAAACTTCTTCCTCCCCTGTTAACTTGTTAATGTGGATGGTGGATACTTTGTTGTCTTGTTGTATATTATTGTGTATTTCTTCTCAAATAGCGTAGTTGCTGTAAATGTGCAATATTACAAATGTGCAATATTATAAATTTGTTATATTACAAATGTGTAATATTATCTGACTACTCAACGCCAGTTCAACACTTGCTAGACGTATGTACTATTTCCAACTGCTGTTACTTTTTAATAGGATAATCTCGTGTAGTTTCACTTTTGTTCAGTACATCGTGTCGCATTATGTCGCATTATGTCGCTGTAAGTTATGTTCACTTTACCTTTACTTTTAAAGTGGCTAATGAGAATTTGTGTAAACACGGTATTTACGTTAAGGTTATATAATTGTATTACATTATAATATATAATATATTTTATGACATAAAATATAATACATATTATAATGTATTTTATATTATATTTTAAACTTGACGAAATTTCCCCGGCAACGGGGACATAGAAGAAAAAACACCGAAAATCGACCTCAAAATGACCCTCTGGTGAAATCAAACCCAGCTCGCAAATGGAGTTGAAACCTCGCCATTTTTAGCAGGGTTGTAGAAAAAGGATAGGAATAGGCTATAGCATTCTTAGAATTTTGATTTAGGCTTTAGATTTGTTATAATTAACGTCGGAAGTGAGGTAAAATAACCGTTAGAATAATGTCGTTATTTTAGCAAAGGTTTACTGCGCTGTTGCGTAGCAACGTTAAAATGCACGTGCGCGATGAAGAAAAATCAGGCACAGAAAAAGCCAGGTGTTCATCTAATTAACACGTAAGGTGTTTAACGACATCTTTTCTATTGTGCACAGAGCTTTTAAATATATCACACGTCTCAGAGTGCTTCATTTTCTGATTCATCGATCTTCCTAAGTACGATGAAGCTTTTCTTACTCACCATTGGCATTGTGCTCTTTGCTGATTACGGGGAGAGTAAAACCCCCAAACAGCCCAATATTGTCATGATATTGGCTGATGATATGGGATACCAAGACGTTGGGTTTAGAGGATCTAACATTCTAACACCCAACATTGACAAGTTCGCAAAACAGGGAGTTATTCTTGAGAACCACTACGTGATGCCCCAGTGTTCACCAACAAGAGCATCCCTTATGTCAGGCCGCTATGCTATGAGGACTGGGTTCTGGAAGGGCAACATAATACCCAACGAGGAGTGGGGCCTGAGACTGAACGAAACCCTTCTGCCAGAGATGCTGAAGAGGAATGGATATGCAACACATGGGATAGGAAAGTGGCACGCTGGTATGTACACTTGGGATCATACTCCAGCCAAAAGAGGTTTTGATACTTTCTTTGGGCTCTACCTCGGAGCTCAAGGATACCGCAGCCACAAAAGATCAGGTCATGTAGACCTGAGAGAGGATTACCACGACAAGGATGGTAAATTTGTTGATGACATTAAATTTGACTTGGAAGGGAAGTATAGCACCTATCTCTACACAGATAGAGCTGTGGAGAAGATTGAAACAAGGGACAAGACAAAGCCTCTCTTCTTGTATCTATCCTACACTGCACCACATTCTCCAAATGATGCCCCTGATGACGAAGTCAAAAGGTTTGCCTCACAAATTCCTAGCAGCCCAAAACAGAGAAGGAAATATGCAACACAGATCTCCATTATGGATGAAGGTATTGGTAAGGTGATGAAGACTCTAGAAAACGAGAACATGCTAGATAACACTATAATTGTGTTCACAGCAGACAACGGTGCTTTCTACGGAAAAAAAGGCAGTAACTTCCCACTGAGAGGTGGAAAGCTGTCTCTGTTCGAGGGAGGAGTAAGGGCAGTCTCATTCATAAATAGTCCTCTTCTTAATACGACTGGTTATACTAACACCAACCTTCATCACGTGACAGATTGGTATGCAACATTCCAGAAAATGGCGGGAGATCAGCCCGAGAAATACAGTAAACCACAGTTACCTTTAGATGGGGTGGATATCTGGGAATCTGTCAGCAACAACAAACCTTGCAGAGATGAAGTGCTCATGAACCTTCGAGATCACAAAATGATCCAGGACTCTTCAGAACATGAATTCCTTGTAAAGAGGGATGAATTTGACTTAGAGGAAGATTTCGGAGAGCTTGGGGACGATGAATTTCCTGATGATGATGCATGTGATTTCTTTGTAATCAGATGGAAAGACTGGAAACTATTTAAAGGAACATACAAGGTTCAGGACTGGACAAATAAGAACAGTCTCTCAGATGCTAAGTTTGACCGCAGCGAGGATGTACTGACAGGAGGTGGAGGGACTGGGTCTGGAATCAAACTCTTTGATTTGTCCAAAGATCCTAGGGAAGAGCACAACGTTGCAGACAAGCACCCTGATGTTGTGAAAAGCATCTTGGAGAAGCTACCAGGATATATGAAGAATATGACTAAGATCAATAAAAGAACAAGGTCTAAGGAGGGAATGAAAGGTAATGCATGGGTTCCGTGGGTGGAAAATAAAAAATGATTAAAGACAGATTTTTCTAGCATGCTCGCAAAAACAGTTTTAGGTAGAATGATTGAATGATTTATTGAGCAGAAAGTTGTTTTACTGCCTCACTAATAACGTAAATAAAGTCAAGAAAACAACAAATTTCAAGGAAATAAAAAATCAGAGAGAAATGAAACTACACATAAGCAGCACCATTCATTCAATACAACAGCCAATCTCAAGCAATTTGTATAAACCCTTCATCTTCAAAGTAAATAATCATAACTTTGAACTTATGGCACAAGTATAAATACTGATCGACTTTTCTAACATACGTACTCCTAAATATTGATTATTATCGGAAAACGTTATAAAACCTTATACGACCGCCCACGTGCAAATCAGACGAGAAATAGGAAGTTGCGTAGTTACCATGGTAACGATGATTGTTACACGCAACCGCACGTGCAATGATTGTTTTAACGTCATTTTGATCGGTTCTGTCGATATTACGCTGTGTTTAGTATGAGCAACATTTCAATTGGCTGTATCTTCGGTTGTGTAGGATATTTTTTGATGCGATTTAAACTTACTAACAAAAAATACTATCAATATTAGCTTCCTCCCTGTGACCACGGGTTTTCTAGTGTATTATATTTTATGTCATAAAATATATTATATTTTATGTTAATGTAACGTAGTTAAGTAATTACACATTATTTACCTCAACTTCTTCCTGTGCCCGGTTTTACTTACTTTTACTTAACAATTTAGTTATTATTATCGTCGCTATCTATTACTTATTTTATTAGTATTCATTATCGAAGTATTACTGAACTTGTATATTGTATTTAGTATTGTATATCGTATTATATATATTAAATAAGGGCTGACATGGGAGGAAGAAGATCAGATAGTCTTGTGGACTGTCGCCAGATAAAGGGGAACTTAGCGGCCCTCAATGTGAGTGTAGCCAATCACAGAACTCAATCCTAGTCATGTGACAAAAACTGACAAATCAGAGAACTGTATTGTAGTGACGTGACCATTGCTGATCAATCAGAGGGCATGACTTATATACTCTTCACCAGCGACAAATGACAAACTCTTGACAGTGCAGTGTAGTCGCGCCCCTTGTTCAGCCTGAGCGAATCGACATAAGCGATCTCATTTATTCGAGCGAAACAATAGGCTAACCTAGGTTATTTTTGTGCGTGCAGAATGGCAAACGTTGCTCTGATTATTGTGCTGTTTCCCCGGAAATCTTTGATCTTGTCGTATTACAAATAAATTATTGCGAAAATGGCAAGAGAAGTCGTCGACCAAATTTGGCAATTGCGCTCCTGTTAATAAATAATAACTGTTATTGCAAAATCAAGTTCCACTACATCATCATGCTTAGTGTCCCCCCCCCCCCTCCTCCCCCACCCCTCAGCCTCCTATACTACCAAACACACATACATACAACGTAAAACATTAAATGTAACTGTGACGTATTTGGCTGGCCCACACCTCCAATTCTTATCAAGTAGAAGTATTATAACGTACACAGAGGAAATATGAGACATAACCTCCAAACAACCCTTTACTTTAAACCCCTAATCGCATTTGTCGACCCTGCAACCTTGTGATATTCATTATTCATACTCTCCGCCTCTTTGTTATATTTACCACTTTATCATTAAACTTATACAGCTTGATAAATACCACCTGTTTGATATAGTGAGTTAAGTTCAACTTATCACTTAATTTCACTTCAAACCAATTTCACTTTCTTTCTGATTCCACTACTAACTGAATTATCAGCACGATAAAGTTTTAATTATTAACTAAAACCTGAAGGATAAATGCACTGAAAAGTTTAAAAGTGCCACACCTGTCCAATAACGGGTAGAAATAAAAGTATTTGAGTTTTACCGTATAAGGAATAATCTATATTAGACGAGCAGCTCACAAATCTACTTGGATTCCTTAGTTGTGTTGTGTTGCTGCAACAAAGTCTCTCTCCGTCTAGTTCTCTTCTGTAATACAGATTATAGGTATTTTTTGTGTGAGATGTATGTAGTAGTATTATACCCATAACAATGTGTTATTAGCAGCTACATTGCTGTGTATTTGTACTGTACTCCTCTGTTTCCTCTGTTCCTTGCATCTGTTTCCTCTTCTGTACGCTGTTTCTTTCAGATGTTACCTAATACAAACCCCAAGAGTAGGGAGCACGACTTTCACAAGCTCTTCAAATCCCTTCCCGAGGGGGAAACCCTCATACAAGGTCAGTAGTAATTATCTTATTTTAACTAATTACAAGGTCAGTAGTCATTATCTTATTTTAACTAATTACAAGGTCAGTAGTCATAATCTCATTAACTAATTACAAGGTCAGTAGTAATTATCTTATTTTAACTAATTACAAGGTCAGTAGTAATTATCTTATTTTAACTAATTACAAGGTCAGTAATAATTATCTTATTAACTAATTACAATGTCAGTAGTAATTATCTTTTTTTAACTAATTACAAGGTCAGTAGTAATTATCTTATTTTAACTAATTACAAGGTCAGTAGTCATTATCTTATTTTAACTAATTACAAGGTCAGTAGTCATAATCTCATTAACTAATTACAAGGTCAGTAGTCATTATCTTATTTTAACTAATTACAAGGTCAGTAGTAATTATCTCATTAACTAATTACAAGGTCAGTAGTAATTATCTTATTAACTAATTACACGATCAGTAGTAATTATCTTATTAACTAATTACAATGTTAGTAGTAATTATTTTATGAACTATTTATATTTGTTATATATCGTAGTTTACGCCAAGTTACTCGCACACGTTCTATAGTATGTAATTAACTAATTAATTGTATCATTGTATAATTGATTGCTCCCCAGATTTCTCGTGTGCTTTGTTAAGAGATATACTAGTTCAAGGACGACTGTACGTGTCTCAGAACTGGTTCTGTTTTTATGCTAACATTCTCGGATGGGAAACTCTCGTGAGTTAATTTCATTTTCGTTAATTAGTTTTTCGTTCGTTTGTTAATAAAACAAATATTAATAAAACAAATATTTATTTTTACGGCACAATCAAACAATATCAATAACAAATAAATCATGGGAGGTTTGAAGAGGTTTCAAGTGCCGAAGGCCACTGCTTATCTTTAGGATTTGAGAGTGACCTGTGCTTGAAACCCCCTCAACCATCCACTACGTCAATATACTTGTTATACAAATTATATAGAAAAATATAATAATCTAAAATTACTTATTGGTTTAGTTTGGTGACATAGGAGAGCCCAGTTGAGTTTTAGTTTAGGTTTAGGATTTAAATCATAGTTTAAAAGGTTAGCCATGTTTCATGGCAGAGAGAGATATCATGTGTGCAGAGCCGTACCGGATTTAGAATTTGAGATATAATATAAATTAGTTACCATGTATTAGGGTCATCTCGATTTTGGAGGGATAGCAAGTGCTTTTTAAGGTTAGATTTAATAATACCTGACGAGGCTGACAAGTCTGAATTCTTGGAAGTAAATAAACGATAATTAAACGATAATTATCAGATAAATCGTACTATTATTTCCTGGTCTAACACGTTTCTTTGTTTTTCAGCTGACGATAGAAGTGAGCAGGATTACCTCAATTAAAAAAGAGAAAACAGCCCTAGTGATCAACAACGCTATCTCAATCTCTACAAACGAGGAGAAATACTTCTTCTCCAGTTTTATGTCACGTGACAGCGCGTATAATCACATGTGCGGTATCTGGAGACGACCAGTTTCAAGAGAGGTGAGTTTTTCCTCCCCCTCTTAATTCTTTCCTCCCTTTCTTTAAACCCCATCCCTCATTCCCTCCTCAATCTTCAATTTTAATAATCTGTCTGTCAACCACATCCCCCGTCTCAGCTGGCAGCAGAAGTAGATGGACTCGAGCTGGAGGAGTCAGAACACGCAGAAGATAACTCAGATAGCTACATCTCAGAGGATGACGATGCATCCTCAGATATACAACAAGTCAACTCTTTTCCTCACCCTGCTCTTGGAATCGTACGTTACACTTCTTACTTTCTTCATGTGTTTGTTTAAAGTCCCATGCGGTCATGCTTGTTCCTATCTGTGTTTTGGTACCTGTCCGATGTTTGTTCCTATGTTTCGTAGAACACAAGCTTCTAATGAATAGTGTATTTATTTTGGTAGTTCAACTGTTGGTGTGGTGGTGGATTATCTCTGATATTCTAGCTTCCCAGACGGGACAGGATCATCTCACTTTAAAAACCCATATTATACACAAATTAACTTACTTTTAAAGCCTTTCCACTCCAATAAATTATGTCACTAATTATCTCACTTCTAAAGCCTATCTACTTATCTACTTATCGTTAAATGATCTCACTTTTAAAACCATTCCATTTCAACAAATTATCTCACTTTTAAACCACTCCCGATCACGCCACTGTCATCCTATAGCCTAGATTACTCCAGAATTGTTACCATACCACGGAAATATTAAATTCAATTACACTTTCTGTGCAACGACTAGTTTTAGTGAAGATCGGATCATTTTTTAAGTTTTTACGTACGTGAGCTTGCTAACTGAAATGTTAAACTTGTAATATAAACGGTGTTTAATTACACGTGCATCTGTTATCAGTGTTTTTATAGTCAGATAGGAAGTTGATTTATTTCTCTCGCAATCGACTAGTGTTTTGTCTCTAATAGTTGTGCTCATTATAGTGTTATAACCGGTAGTGTCGTTGTGTTATAAAGTGGTTGTGAAATGCCGGGTCTCACCAGTCACTCCAAGAAGAACATGGTAAGTGAAAGTGAAAGTGTTGTTTGGGGGTGTACTGGTAGTGGTACGCACTAAACGGTTTAGTAGGACGAAGAGATTAAACATTTCTTCTCTCACCAAGTTTAGTTTTCAAGTTTGGATTTAAGAGCCTGCACTTGGAGTCAGTGGATTAGGAGATGCATTTAACTTTTGACTGAGAAAGAAGCAGTAGCCAAGTAGCTACAGAGGAATTATAGAATTTCCATCCAATCAGTTTTGACTTACTAATAGTGGATAATTTGGATATTAATCAGCATGTAATTACCACTGATATAAATATTATAATAGTTAATATTTTACAGGTTTTGAGTCGCCCCAGTCCTCCAAATACATTAGCCGTAAGTTAACATCAATCTGTGCAAGCTAAAAATCAATCTGTGCAAGCTAAAAATCAGTATAAGCTATGTTAAATCTTAAAGCTGACTTTCTGTCCGGACTTCTTTGCAAATGTCTTTTATCGCTGTTCTTACTTACTCTTACTTACTCCTTTACTCTTACTGCCCGGTTATGAAACAATCAGCATGGAAATAATCAGCCACCTCATTATGAAGTAAAATTAGGCTGCCTTTCATTCGTGCTGTAGTATGTTTTCATTAGTACAAGTAACTAGATCATGATTTCAGTGCATGCTCACATACGCTACATGATGCACTCAAAATGAGTAGAAGTATCCACCATTCACTCATTTAAAGCTAGTACACACTAAATGTACAATACACACAAGAAGTGTACAAAGAGACCAATATACCATGTACACCACGTCACCACGTGCACACACCACACCCTCCACAATGTACCATGTATAATACAGCACGTGTCACCTGTAACCTGCAGCACATTGCACAGTGTACACTGTACAGCGCTATTTTATCAGGTGATATGCCTCAGCAATGAGGTGATATCCTCTCTACTCAATATATCCCTGTTGCACTGTTGCACACTAGCTCCTGCTAATTTACATCTACAGCTGTTTCGTGTTCTCTCTATTGCTACTTAGAGTGTAAATTGATTGCTGTAGTTTATTTGTGTTAGTTTGAAACTTGATAGTACTTTTAAATATACTTGAGTTTATTGCTTAAACTATTGCTTAAACTTAAATTGCAGTTTCAACGAGTAGGGTTAGGATTATCAATTGTGTTGCAATGGTTTGTGTAGTATTATATACGTGTTTTGTAGGTTGGGTAATGGGTATAGGGTGGGGGAGGAGGGGAGGAGGGGAACAAATTCCCTCTAGAAGATGTAGAGACTGTGTATTACAGTATTGTCAGTATTGTCAGTATTGTCAGTATTGTCAGTATTGTCAGTATTGTCAGTATTGTCAGTATTGTCAGTATTGTCAGTATTGTCAGTATTGTCAGTATTGTCAGTATTGTCAGTATTGTCAGTATTGTCAGTATTGTCAGTATACACTGGTGGTTGAAAGTGGGTGTGCCCCTGAGGGCCCTCAGCTGACCAGTTCCCTGGAATCTACTACTACTACTACTACTACTACTACTGCATCACTATAATCTATATTCTATTATCTGTTTACCTTGACAACCATTACATTAACAAGTCACCTTGCTTACCACTCAGCATAACCTTCATCTCGCTATTAAGCTATTAGTAGTCTCACTATATTTGTAACTAACATGTGTTGTTCGTGTGATCTCTCTATTTACATTGCACCTTTATTACTCTAAATTCACATGGATCCCCACGATGGTAAAAGAAAGCACTTAAATATGATAAGTGTAATTAATCACTGTCTAATCTAAAGTTATTTCTAGTTTAAAGACTAAAATAACTACATTTAGCGCCACTACAGATGTTGCAATGACAACAGCAGCCAGGTGGTATACACTCTAACACAGAATAGCAACGTTACCACCATGGTGCTATTTGACACACCCAACTTGTAACTGATACTGTCTTTATTAGATTCCAGATTGGTCACCATATTTGCACCTGTTTTAGCGTCGTATCGTTGTGTTTTGATTCGTATCTTACTTTCAGCTTTATTTTTCTTTCTATAAAAGCGTTCAACTTGTAAAGATAAAGACGTACGATTCATTTAATTAATAATTCCATCTGAAACTCTGAGCTGTAATATCTTTATCTACACTACAGAAAATACTTGACCAGCTAGCCTCGCCCTTCTGCACTGCTCACTGATACCACAGAGTTCCAGCTCTCTGATTGGTCCCCCTATCTCCCTATATCTTAGTGGTGGATGTCTTTATATTCCGGTAGCATTTCATCTCCTCGCGCGTATCGCAGCAGATATGAGATATTCCAGTACTTTCATTTTAATGCCGCTCCTTTCATTCTAAATATAACTTTTGCTTGAAATAGATTTAATGTTTATAATCTTATAGCACCACCACGTCCACCTCTTTGCTAAGATTGATAAGTTCAGAATGAGGAGATGTTGAGGAGACATCGTGATATTGATCATCTGACATTGGCCTTTGTCACCTGATCATCTGATATCAGTTTGTAGTTTTGATACTTTGTGCGTTATTGTTACTCTGGTTTCATCGTACGTGTTACTTATTAAACACGACACTGTCCAGCACGATCACAACTATTAGTCTAGTTTTCACTAGATTTCGCAGTTTTAAATTATTTATACTGCGTCGTTAGTCAGAGTTACAGTCTTATTACAATCAAACCTTCTTTTACTTGAATTGTTTGGGGGTATTTTCTCGGAAAATCTGGGTTTTAGTTTCCCAGTAAAGTGCAAATGAATAAAGCTTTAAAAAAGGTTCGTTGTGTTAAATAGCGGTTTGCGTTAATGCTAACCGATCTTGCTAACTAGTCTTTACCTGCTTACTCCGTTCTTTTTATTTCTATTCAACGTTACGATTTATTGAGTAGATGTAGTTGCTCCTAATTATTAATTATTAGTACTTTAAATTATTATATATAATATTGACCACTGTCCTCCACTCGTAAATAGTTAACATTTGCTGAATTGCAGCGAACCTGCATTAAATCTCGCTATCTACTTTATACTACTCTGAGACTACAGACGTAATAACTGTATACTGTATACTGATATCTTCGTTCTATTCATGTAGTTCTATTCATGTAGATATAATTATACCCTTTTCAGCGAATATCTTCTGTCACATACAATACTCTTAATATCTCCTTTACCAATGATACCTGAATCTAATCCCTTCTCGCACCGTTCTTCCCTTATACGGAACAGAATATATCCTCACAAGATAATATCTTCTCTTTTCGGCTATTATCTTTGAACCCGCAAATTCTCCCAAAACAATAGTTTCAGCCTTAATATAGATCAAAGTGACGGCACAGTTGCTTTTGAATAACTTATAGTTCTTTTCATAATGATCAGACCCTGTATATCATTGCATGTTTTTTTACAAATATGAAAGAGGATTATATATAACTAGTGTAACCCGGCCTACGGCCGGGATTTCACTGCCGCAGTTAAAAAGGGTAGGAGTAATTACCCGCTGAGTCAAAACCCGCATTAGGTGACCCAATAGTTTCTTAAACAATAATCTCATAATCAGTTATTTCTTGTGGATAATTAAGTCATTATTAGCCATGAGGCACCACACTCCATGATCATAAGGTCTGAACACCGAGTATTACACCTCATCACTCCCGTCTTGAACCGCTTTCTATTTTTATTTAAATCGTTATAGAAATTAACCCTTGTTAACTCCGCACCACACCCGCATATTATATTTGAAAACACGCATAACATTGTCGTATGAACCAGGGACAAAAGGATTTCGCGATTATTTTGGCCAAAAATCGCGATACCGCGAATTTTAACAGACTATACATTAAACTATACATAAAATTTGTCGCAAATAATGGGAAAAATCGCGATTCCGTACATGCCGCGATTTCCTTTTGTCCCTGGTATGAACTCTCTCTCTCTCTCTCTCTCTCTCTGCAGTCCAAACAGACCCCAAACACTAACAGTCCCCCCTCCCCTAATAAGCTTAAGGTATAACATTACAGCGAATCTTCCAGGCTAATCCAATTATGACGCTACTTAAATGCAGCTATAACATATTACACAGTAATGAGAGAGAGAGAGCAAGTCCCGTAACTCTTGCCGTTCTGCTCACGCAATTTTATGTAACATTTGTGGTACAAAACCATCAATTAAACCACTTACCATCGGCCGATTTAAAAAAAAATTTCCTATGGGCTTCATCAGAGTTTTGTCGACACTATACCGAAAAAA